CCACTATGAACTCTCTACCGAGTAGGTACTGGCGAAATTTGGTCACTCCGAACACCACAGCCAATGCTTCTCTTTCAATTTGAGCATAGCGTGACTCTGCTGGGGTCAGCTTACGCGACATGAATGCGATCGGTCGTAATTCGCCATTCTCCTGCTTCTGCAGTAGAACTGCGCCAAGGCCCACTCCCGAAGCATCCACTTGCAACACTGTTGGCCTTTGTAGATCATAGTGTGCCAGTAGGGCTTCTGAACACATAGCATCTTTCAATTTTCCAAAAGCTTGCTCGTGAGTGGTCTCCCAGTGCCATTTCCCACCCTTTTTCAAGAGGTCGTACAAAGCAGCTGCAATTTCTGCGAAATGAGGCACAAACTTCCGCACGAAATTTGCAGAACCGATGAAAGATTGCAATTCGGCAACATTCTGTGGTGGTTTGGCCATTTTCAGTGCCTGTATCCTGGCTGGGGAGACGCCCTGCCCACTGATCGTGTGACCTAAGTAAGAGAGTGCCTCAGCCATGTAACAGAATTTCTCCGGATTCAATTTGAAACCTTTCTCATCCAGTCGATGGAGTACCCGATCCACGTTTTCCTCATGGATTTCATCATTCTCCCCGGTACACAGCACATCATCAATGTACCCGCCGCTGCCTGGTAGCGCAACCAAGGTTTCTTCCATTACCCTTTGGAAAATGGATACGGCACTGTGGAAACCAAACGGTAAGCGTTTGTACTGGTACAGGCCTTGAATTGTGTTGATGGTGGTGTATTTCCTGCTTTCCGGTGCTACCTCTAGCTGGTGGTATGCTTGGGACAAGTCGAGTTTGGTAAACTTCCCTCCCGGGCCCAACTTGTGGAACAATTCTTCGAGGGTGGGGAGTGGGTACTGTTCACATTCTGAATGCTTGTTAATAGTCCCACTGTAATCTGCGCAAATCCGTAATCCTCCTCCTGGTTTCTCTACTTGTACCGTTGGTGAGGCCCATTCGGAATGCGTCACTTTCTCAATCACCCCATCAGCCTCGAGTTTGTTCAACGCGTCGATGTACCGCTGTCGAATTGCTAGAGGTACTGGTCTTGCTCGTTTGTAGACCGGTTGTTCATCTGACACGTGCAGCTTTACTTGCACCCCTTGCACCGTACCCACAGTGGAGTTGTCAAACAGATTCGGGTATTTCTTAACGAAATCGGTAGTGGATTGCCCGCCAGTGCCCACTTTGAATATAGATTTCCATGGCAAAGTAAATCTGGACAAGACATCCCGGCCTAAGAGAGAAGGACCATCACATTCAGTAACTCTGACCAGAACATTCTCCTCTACACCACCCAAAGCCATTTTCATTTCGATTTCACCCAGACATTTGATTGGATTTCCTGTGTATGTAGATAGGGTGATGCTGGATGGTACCAGCTCAGACAAGGAGCCATTGCATTTCAGAAAATCATTTTTCCTAGCAGTGTGACGGTGCTACCCGTATCAATTTCCAAGTGCACCTGGACCCCATTTAGCTCGACAGGCGTAGTGTACGGTGCTACAGCTCTGTCACTCACGGTAGCATTCACATTCAACATCAGTACAGAATCATTACAAGGAACAAGCACACCGGGGTTTGATGTTGTCCCGACATGCTTGACGGACCTGGCCGCTTTCTTCTTTAGGCAGGCTCGTTCGATGTGTCCCAGTTTGCCGCAAGCACGACACTTCGCAGATTTGAAGTGGCACTCATCCGGTCGATGTCCCAGCTTGTCACAGCGGAAACAGGGCTTGTCAGATTTGAACGTGGCGTTGTCGGCGAGCCCCGGCTCTCCGCGTACTGCATGAACCTGCGTTGAAAACTTCCCAGACTCGCGGAAAGCTGTCTCATGAGCCGTGGCCATGTCGACAACCTGCTGAAATGTTGTCGTCTCCTCAGCCTTCGCCAGGATTTCCTTCGCCGTGCTGGTAGAACCGATCGCAGTGATGAACTGTTCACGCAAGGCCCTGTTGAGATAAGCTTCAAACTTGCAGTCCATGGCTGCCCGTTTCAATCGAGCCGCGAACAGGATCGCAGACTCGCCCTCCTTCTGCAGGGTTATCTGAAATTGATAGGTGGCAGCAACCACACTGATCTTGGGCTTGAAATAATCACAGAGGAGCTTCAGCAGCTCTTCGAACTTCTTCTGCCCTGGTTTATCTGGGAGGCACAAATTCTTCAATGTGGAATAAACCTGACCGCATAGTTGACTAATCAGCACGGCGCACTTTTTCTTGTCTGCCGCTGCCTGTACTGTCTCGGTTGCATCGTCTGCAATTTGGCCAATGTCATTAGCCAGAAAATGAAAATTGAGTCTCTCTGCATACTCGTCAAAATCCCCAGTTTCGAAAATTTCTAATCTAGAGTTGCGTCCTGCCATCTTCGTCGCCAATTGTTATGTCTGGCCCTAAGGGCCCACACACAGCATTACTCAGGTTCGTACAGTTATTGTAATAATCAAGGAACAGAAAGACAAGCAAAAGAGAGCTCACATTCTCGGACCTAGTCCAGCACAGCAAGCATGCAAAACCAGCCACGAGCCCAGGCGCGCATGCGCGCCTTATCACGTCACGTACACAGCAGGGATCTTCCCTTCAACTGCTACAATGGAAAATGATTCGATCTGAGAAATCGTGAGACTGCGAATCTCCGTTGAATATTGAGTATGTCAAGCCTTTTCACGACGAAGATGGAGTTCTTTTTGGAGATGGACGTTGCGGCAAAGGACATGGTTTCCGACTTCTGGCATCTGGTGAAGCCAGGGGTCATATGTCCAGTCAGGTTGGCAGCCTGATGGTCGGTAAGCTTGTGTTTAGATCGCGTTCTGCTCAATGTGGTGGATCACAAACAATTGTGATATCGCACAAGTTGAACTCTGCATCATGCATACGGTATTTTTATTCTGTTAAGCGCAAAGTGTCTCTGACTCTCTGTGTGGCCGTCCTATGCCACGAGAAACTCCAATCAGGCGCCTGTGTCCTCTGCCTTCTTGATTGAATGTCCACTTCGTTTGAACAACAAACACAACAATCGAGGACGGCTTTGCAATGAAAAATGCACCTATACTGGACCTGAAAAAAAAGAAGAAATAACATGCTCACGATGAGACTCGAGTACACGCGTACTCTCCAAGCAGGTTTTGAGGATGTCGCTCATAGATGCGTAATTCCGCATGACGGCGTACAGTTCGACTGTGCGGGAGCTCCCTGTTGAGCTGCGCTGGCGTAGGAGTGTGAACCCTTGGGTTCTGTGTGTGTGGGTTCTGAGCTGTTTCATTGATTTGAGCTCTCGGGCTCCGCTCTGGGTTCCGTGCAACTACTACTTGAACTAGCATTCATGCAGCTTCACTCATAGTACCTCCTGGATCGGGTGCACTTGTTTCCGAGCCTCGCTCTGTTCCAGAGTGGAGCCGAACTGGTGCTCTGTGTATTTGTTGGTGGTTTGTTCGTGGGTCGTTTGCTCGGACACGATCGAGCAAAGCGCTCCCCCATGCAGATCCTGCAAGTCAAGTTAGTTGAGACTCAGATTGGTCCTGTGGTAGTTAGAACTTTGGGCATTGATTCCAAACAGTTTCCAGGATACCTTAACACCATTGGTATCACCAGCTACTGCTCTGAGTCTGAATTGCAAAAGAATGCTCTCCAGGGCTCGGCAGCTATCCTGCGAAAGTCCCTTGATTTTCAGGGCTCTTGGGTGGCTGGTGGAGTTCTTTCGGTATTATTTTCCTCCAAAACCTCTCGTGTTTCTTATGATCGTTATTTAAAATAGTGTTGTGTCTTTCTCTCTGTTGTTTACCTGCCATCTTATTTAATATCCATATGATGCATGGTCCAACCTTTGGTTTCTGGATTCTAGCCCGATGGGTGCCAATCTCCTCGTGCTGATGGATTTAAAAACGAAGCCGGTGTGGAGACAAGAAACCGAATATCGATGAAAGTAAAGTGAGCGCACTCATATCACGAAAACAATGGAACAATATTTTAGGATTTGAACGTCGTTTTCATGTGATTAGCATCAGAAACCATCATCACACTGAGTATTGGACTACATACCCACTCACATACATGTAACTTTCTAACCTGCACTTCTACAGTTTGCACATGCTATCACACTTCTCCGTTCGCTCCCCAAGAAATAACGCCTTTATTAGTGCAAGCTTTAGAATAATAATGTTTCTGGTATTAGTTTTAGATACAGTATTGTTCACTATAAGCTAACTTATGAGCCTCTTGATCCGAAAAGGGGCTTAAGTCGTTTCGCAAAGTACTGAGAAAATGCAGAGGAAAGTTGAGTTTTCCATATTAAGAGGTGTATAAGTCACTTATTGAAACACCTACAACTCCGCGAAAGATAAATATTTTGGACCTAGGTTTTTTTACAGAGCAGTCCATCGAACCAGAAAAGTCCTTCGAGAAGTCCATCGAACCGTCCACGGAGCAAACCTGTGCTCTGGATGGCAGTCGTGAGTCAGTCAAGTGGCAATTCACGTCAGCAAGAAAAGGAAAAGCTCCCATGCAGGGAGCAACAAGTATCGCCGAAGTTGCACCAACCCCTTCTTCACATTGTTCTCTCCAGTGCGGGCTTGCAAATTAGATGGTTTGGCGACAACAACGCTGTTAATGGCAATGGTTCTCAGCGCTTGTTCAGCACCTCCATGAGCGACACTGACTCACGCTGCTATCTGGCGTTCACGAGGTGTTTGTCATGCTGGAAACGGAGCGTCTCTGTAAGTTTGTATCTCTGGTGATTTTTCTGCCTGGAGAGCACTTTATAAGTGGTGCTCTACTGGCATAATCTTCCTCAGCCTACTCAAGCTCCACTGATGAGGGGTGAATTCCCCGGAACACTGTGTACTAAACAGGGATAGGTGCTTTCTTTCAGGTTTGCCGAGTGGACAGTTCGATGGACTTCTCGTGTGCTCTGGATGGAAGTCGTGAGTCCGTAAAGTGTAAAATCTTTAATTGAAAGAAAACAGAGATGGGGACTTACATTGGACTTCACACAACACTCTATATTCTTGCGTTTTCAGCTGATCATTGTTTCCAAAGAGGACCGGTGCCTCGTAATCCCAAAAAGATCCTTTCCGCCAAAACTGTGAATACTGCCCTAAAATAGCAAGAGCCATCTGCATGCATTGTACATTGCCTGCCAAAGAGGCTCCTTGATATTTATTGCAGGTTTGCCTTCCATGGGTATAGTTACTCTGTCCAATTGACGGAAAAAATAAGAACGATTTTGATGCTTCGCAGAACATCCCGCCTGAAACAAGTAAAGGTAGTGAACACATAGTAAATCGAATGTTAATGTTTTCTCTTTCCCATTAAGGAAACTTCACTTATCAACTCAAAAAACGGTCTCTTCACTGCTATTCAAATTAACCCTTTATTGGCCGGCCCATAAATTGATCGATCACCGATGTTCGAACACTTCCGTGCTGGATTTGAGTGGGATGTACACATGCTATGGTATCCATCTTGGTCTCATTCGAAAGGTGAGTTTTCGCGCTTCGTCATCCAACCAAGAAAGTATATGACCCGTATACATTGAGCGCGAGAAAATCGAGATCGAAATACGCGATTTTGCAAGTACATGGATTTGTTTGATGCACTTGAATGCTAGTCACGCGTGACCAGCTGAGTTATCAGGCACGCGACAGCTGCACTGTACAAATGTGCAGGTTTAGGTACAGCAGAGAGCCGGCGCTAGTGCAGTGTTTTTGTGTGATGAACTCTTCTCTTGTTGTAATTACAATTTTCTTCTTGCGTACTGCCATGCCTATGTTTGCAATGAACCAGTGTATTGGTCTACAGGACAGTATGTTGCCCTGGAAGACACGTGACAGTGTATGTTGATTTGAGGCACGTTTCAGAGAGACGTTGAGTAGAGGGTGTGAGAGCTTGGCTCATGCCTTCGCCGACTTCAAATTTGTTCAACATGTATTTCTTGTGTCTAGTACTTGTGAATCCCTTGTTATCATTATCAGTGTGTTCCAGAACTAGTGTGTGTGTGTGAGTGTGTGTGTGTGTGAGTGTGTGTGTGTGTGTGTGTGTGTGTGTGTAAAAAAGACCAAAAAAGACCAAAAAATTGGGATTCACTGGCCAGAAAAAGTCACTTCAAATAGCTGTATGGTGTAGACCAGGCTGAATAGTGATGGTCAATTCTTCAGCCTTGCAAGCTGTTGAATGGTGCAATCCCAGCACAAGTTGTTATGGCTTCTGCCGTAGCATTGCTATCATCACCTCCGGCGATGGGCATCAAAGGTCAAAGGTGTGTGAGCGTTGCACTTGAGTGCATGTCACGCGTGACCTGGTGAGTGATCAGGCGTGCGAAAACTGCAGTGTACAAACGTGTGTGTTTAGCTACACAACTGAGAGCAGCCAGTGCAGTGGTACATGGTTTTGTTCAAAATGCAATTTCTGTCTGCATTACTTTGAATTCAAAGTGACGGCGAACGCAATGGCTGGTGGTCCGTTATCTCGGCTCTGTGCAACTGAAGCTCTTGATCGTGTTCTCAACTGGTCAGGGAGTGAGTCGTATGATGATGACGACCTCTTGTCTTCAGACGAGGAAGGAGAACTTGATGGCTGACAATTATTTTCTCATACCGCGAGTGACAACAGTTTTATGGCCTCTGAAAGTGAAAGCGAGTACGATGAAGATTCTCCCGCTGGAGTTGTTGTGGATGACGGAGAATTTGTGTTGCCACGAGCTCGAGGTCATGGTCCCGGGAGAGGCGGCTCAGGTCGGTCTGGTCAAGGTCGCGGATGTGAACTTGCACCTCTGCCTAGAGTTGTACCTCTGCCTCAAGCTGGACCGCGATTCGCAGCGCTTCCAATACCACAGCAGCAAGTTCACCTCCACGACCCGTGGCGCGAGCTCCTCGTCGACCTTGACCAGACCGACCGACAAGTATTACCTTCACTGGGGCAGGGGTAACTGCAGTTGGATCCCAGGACCGATACCCTAATGCCATCAATCGCTTTTCTGCACCTTTGCCTCACCCACTTACTGAGGTGTTTTGAGCCCATAAGTGGCCCGTAGTCCGCTAACCATAGCACAACTACCGGAGGTGACTCCACGATTAACCCTTTTACTCCAGTAAACTTCCTTTCCAGCGCGCTGATTCTCCTGGTGTTGTTTTCGCGCACAGGTCCGAACGAATTTTCTCTCAATTCAGTTTACCTTGATAGATTTTCATTATCCTGGGCTTGATGGAAAGATCAGGACCAAGCGAATCCATCCTGGTAGATCTCAATTCAATATGCACAGTGGTGCAACTTCTACATCCTCTTGAAGCTACATCACAAGGCCTCGGAAGGCACACGAACTCGATCTCACATTCTTTTTCAGTGTCTTGCTTCAGGTCAGCCGATTTTCACGATTCAAACTGCACTGCAAAGCTGTGATCCACGTGCTTCCGTTGGTGTCCATTACGCATGCGCTGTGTCTCTATTATGTATAGATTATAACAAGGGGCCGTGTGTATTTTTAGATATTTTTCAATAGTATATAACCGAGGCGAAGCCGAGGCTTTTACAACTGGTGTATATATCTTGATAAACACGAGGTCCCTTTGTTATAATATATTTATACCTCTCCCTATTCACCGTTCCCAGCCGACAACTACGGCTAATTTTCCTTAGTGGTGTATACTTATAGAATAAACACCGATGTCGTAGTGTTTATGGGAATATAAACACTGCTATAAAAACCGAGGCGTAGCCGATGTTTTAATAGACAGTGTTTATATTCCCTTAGAATCAACTCGTAAAAACTCCAAGTCAATCTCCAATTGATACAAACCTCGTTTATTCAACATACTTGGTCCGTTTCATCGCAATTGTCGCTTATCTATCGCGACTAAGAACAAGAGTTATTTTATCGCTCTGTAAAATTTCCAATACGCATAGTGAAGAAGCATGATACAGGATGCCTGTCCGCCACAATAAAAATAATTCAGCGATGGAATCTGATGAAGCAAGTCGAGAAAGGAAGCAAGGTTACAAAAATGTACAAAAGAAAACAGCGACGGAGCGCGTTCTTGCACTCACGCCTTAGTTTATCCGACTCTGGCTCTGTATCACTCGAGCTGATGTCACTTGAGCTGACATTCGCTGGTGTGTATAGCTGCTGGCGCCATGGCGTAGAGTATCTCTTGCTTTCTCCGCTTGGCATATGGCAGCGATGGGAAAGGAACAATCGTGGCGAGGTGGCCCTGTCTTGTTCGATAACACGTCAAAGAGATGTGGCCTCTGCACTACCGAGAAGTATCATATCCTCGAAACCGACGCCCGCACTAGGCTAAACAAGCGAAATGAGATTGTGTCAAAATGCAGGCACGAAAGCAAGTATGTCCTATCAAATTTTGTGCCCATCACATAAGGACAGTGATTATTCTATGGCCTTGGTAGCGCCTCTATATCTGTTACCTGGCATGGCACCACTCTGCGCTATCACCTTTCCCAAGGCACTCTGTGCAATGCATCATGAAAAATGGGCTGGTCACACCCCGCAATATCATCACCCTCATCTAGCACCTAGGCACTCTGTACTATGCATCATGAAAAATGGACTTGTCACATCCGGGACCCGACATAATGATAATTTTCACACTCCATAATGACGGAGTTCACACCTTCTGAGTATATAACCAGTGTATCATACTTTGTTTGATCATCCATCTGATGATCCGTTGCTTGAACGGTGAAACACTGTGTAATGGAATTTGATCTCTGACGGTTTTTCCGCTTGTGTGTAGATACTGGTTATAAATAGACCGAATAAGGAAAATGATTTGATAGCCTATGAAGAGTAAAAGAAATGGAACCAATGACAACAAATACTCGTCCAGCACACGAGTTGTCATAGAAACACAAATAACAGGTGTCCACTAATTTTTTGTTGGAGATTGAGTAGGAGTTTTTACTGGTTGATTCTAAATACAATAAATGCTCCCGCCTTGGGCTTATGACCAATAAATACTAATTATTCCCGTAGCTATGCAGAAGACGTTACTTCAGTAACGTCTGGCGCTAGCCAGGGTCCACACAGCTTTAATTTGGTATTTTCTGTGTTTGTTTGTTTGTGTCACGCCTGGCGCTATCCCGTATCTGTCCCGTACCGTACCGTACCATCAAACACAGCTGGCCACATACAGCTGGCCGCAATATTCAAATAGGGCTTTTAAACGCAAGATCATAACGTGACGCAACTTGGAAGAATGGGTATGAATGCGAAGTGTATGGGGGAATGCATGTAGCTAGGGCGATAGTGCGGGTTCGAATCCCAGGATATGCCTTAAAAAAATAGGAGAATTGAAAAAATGTATAACATCCCTATGCTTTTGTTGCCGTCATCAAGCCGGTAGACGATGTCGTATTACCCTCGATCGTACCTGTCCCGTACCTATCCCGTACTGTACCGTACCATCAAAGACGGCTGGCCACAATGCATATTCAAATAGGGCTTTCAAATGCAAGATCATAACGTGAAGCAACTTGGAAGAATTAGTATGTATGCGAAGTGTACCGGGGGTGCATGCAGGGCGCGCGATAGTGCGGGTTCGAATCCCAGGTAATGTCTTAAAAAAAGGAATTTTTTAAAGAATTTATAACATCCCTATGCTTTTTTTTGTCTAGGTCATCAAGGCAAAAATGAATAGCGTAGGGCCTGAGCTTCCAAGCTCTCTCGTAAAAACCTCGGGGGAGCTCGGTTTTTATAATAGTTTTATTGGTCATAAACCCTCGGCCTCCTCATTTATTGTATACGAAAACACAAGACAGAGGTGTTTATTCTATTTATACCTAGCTTCGTTTTTGGCCTGAAATACTGGTCCGAAATAGCTATTTTAGTATCCCAGCATACTATAATATGAGCCGCAATCAGCGAAAACGACCCTTAGAGGTTTCGTAATATCTTCGAGAAAATGGTCGATTTGTGACGTTCAACATTTTTTTTGATCGCGCTGCGAACAGCGCGACGAGTTCTTCTTGAACTCCTTGGTTGAAGTAATTTATTTTGAAGGAGTGGTGTCGAGTGGCGACTCGAATGTTCCTTGATCTTGTTGCGATGGCTGCGGACGCCAGAGCTGTTCGCAGAGCACACACGGCAGTCATTCTGTACAGCTGGCTCGAGCCTGGTGGGGAGCGGATGCTGAAGTAGCCGCTGAAGTTCAGGGTGAGGATGAGACGTTCTTTTGTTCCAACATCGATGTCGACAGCGAGGTGGAATCGCAGCCGTCATCTCCTGCTGCGATGCGG